TGTAATGAATATTCAATCACACAGAGTTTAAAATTTATAGCACTATGTGGCATGCTTTTTATAGAGTATATTTTGTCTTGTGGAAAAACATTTTAAAAGACTGAATAGTATAATTTCCTCCAAACCATTGTATATGGAAAGGAAAATGCTAGAGAAGAATAAATAGTTAAGAATTCTTAAGAATAAGAGCAGCAAGGAAATATGAGCTGGCAGGCCACAGAAAATAGATTTCTAGTCTACTCTCACACTATTTAAATCCATGAAGAAATTCTTATTGAAAATTTGTTGCTCTCAGTTTGATATTTGTCAAAGTTCATAAAAGTCACTGGAAGGGCCTACATCTACAGAAATATGAAAGAAAAGATTCATTTTTCAAACACTATCCTGATCAAAGTGTTTCCATAGTGTTCCAATATGGCATTGACAAAAGTCTCTGTTAAAATTGTTACCACATTTATGTGGCTGTACACACAACTATATTTCAACCTCTGTACACACAATTACTTTTTTTTAGGTCAGTCGTGGGGCCTGAACTCTGGCCCTGGGCGCTGTCCCTCAGCTCTTCAGCTTAAGGCTAGTGCTTTACCACTCGAGCCACAGAGCCACTTCCAGCTTTTTCTGCTTATGTGGTGCTAAGGAATTGAACCCAAGACTTCATGCTGCAAAGCAAGCACTCTACCACTGAGCCACCTTCCCAACTCCACATTTCTTATAACCATATGTCCTACTTCTTGGTGCCCTAAAGAACAAAAGAAAAATGAAGAGATATGGATCACAGCTGACCATTGTGAAACATAACAGTAAGGAACCATTGTGATCACTAAATCTTGAGCCACGGGGTTTCTTCAGGTGATCCAATAGCATTTTCCCCCTAATTTTACAAGTCATCCTCCTCCCTTTTATAATTACAGGTAACCAACATACCGCCCCTCACACAAACATCTCACTCTGTTTAATATCATCAAATATGTCACACCATAGTCCACCACTGATTTCCCATCTGTCCTGATCATAGCACAAATTGCTACTCACCCGGCACTCACTATTCTTTTTCAAGGACAATATCTGCTGAGCTATTAACAAATAGGCTCCTTCTCTTGAAATATAAAGTAATTTAAGTGAAAAAACGGGAGACAGAATCCAAGAAAATCATTGTACTCTTCAGATATTATTTATCTTAATCACTCATCAAGCTTATGAATAAAATGTCACTCCTCAAAAGCAGAAATATATAGCCATCAATAGGAGATAAACCACCAATATGTAGCTGGGTATAATCTCACTCATTGTCCTGTCTCCTCCAAAAACTGTAATTAAGAACAATGAGGTATCTTGTATTTCAACGAAAAACAATATCTAAGTAATAAAGATAGAGAAAAATGATCCACCCCATCCTTTACACAGATAGCTGAGCTATGTCACAGGATTATAAAAGTGAAGTCTTGCATTGACCATCTTTATGAAGTGTCACAGTGAGGAGGGATTTCTTAAATAATAAGTAAGCACAGGCTTTTCACTTTAAAAGGAAACAAATACTGGATTCGTTCTAAAATGCATGAAGAATTAAGCTCACTGGTAGGAAATCTGATTCTCAATGAACCAGTGGGTTCCTGTCCTTGCCAATGGCTTGGTTTGAGAGTCAAGACCGCATACTAACAGGCTTCCTCTAGATTTTAAAGCAACATGGAAATTTAAAATGAAGAATTTAACACATCCCTAAAACCTTTCATGTTCATAACTCAAAGAGCTTTATAAGGTCCAATTAATTCATCAACGTTTCATAAACTCTGAAGGATTTATATAATTCCAGTTCTCTATATAACTAACCGCTGGCAGCAGGGATCAGATGTGTGGCTTAACAGAAAACAGATGTAACCATTCTGTTTTGGAACTTGTATTCATCTACAGGAAGTGAGGACTAATGAGGAATTTCTGAACCACTGGATAATTCTGAGAATTTTGAGCTGGGTTAAGACTGCACACAGCATGTCTCAGTGCCAAGATCCTTAAAGATTCCTGGCTATCATTGTTGGTCAGAGATTTAAATTCAGTTATGAGATCGTTCTCCATGTTTGAGTAGAAAGCAGAATCACATGGCAGAATTCTTTGTGTGCCATGCCAAATGAAACTTACAGAACGGATACTAAGAAGAAATAATGTTGGATTTAAACAATTATAAATAGTAAACCAATTGTCACAGGGTGTAAACCAGTTTTCCTAATAAAACACTCACTTTGAGAAGTTAAGTGATCTTTTGGAATATGGAATCCAGACCGAATCTTGTTTTCTACTTATAGTATAGTATAATGTCTTTTTTGAACAAAAACGGTTGTTTTCTAACAGAAAAATAACTTAGTGAAACATTAGGAGCAAAAGCAAAATGACCTGCTCCAGTGCCTGGGCTTTTCCTTTAGAAACAAGATCAGTGAGAAGCACTATAGGATCACAGAAAGACCCCAAGGTCAGCTGACTTTGTCTTGTCTGTATTACCTCTCTGAACCTGTTTTCCTATATGCTAATGAGGGTAATGCTATATACCCTCAGGGAGTTGCTGACAATAGCGAGTGAAAAAAAAGAAATCTGTAAAGTGTTCCATGACTTTCCAGTAAACACAGAATATAATTAATATTTTTTTCACAAGTCCTCTAAATGACTAAGGCCTGCAAAGACCATTTCTATCTGGAGCTGATATTGGATATTACTGATTCTCAGGTAATAAGCTTTCCAGTAGGCTACTATTATTTGAAGAGACAAAGAAAAAGGAAAAAGCAACAGCAAATGTGAGTAGTTGCATGAAGCCACTGATCCCACCTCTCACATCCCAGGCAGGGACAATCATAGGAAATTCTACTCCTCTTTATTGGCTAGCGGTTTTCCTGCAGTTGGTGGAATCAGAAGTTCTATGAAACAAATCTGAGCTCAATTTAAGTATCTTTGAAATGAACTCTTTGAAATATCTTTGAAATTAATGCTGATAGTAGAACAACTGATTTAGTAAACAGAAGGACTCTCCTGTTCCTAGAGGTACTGAAGCAAATGTAATGTTAGATATGTTGTGTTTTCATATGCAGAGATTTGCTAAATCCTCACAATAACTTTATGAATTAGATATTTATCCCCTCATTCTTTAAAATTAGGCTCATAGTGGTTCATGGATTGGATGAAATGCCAGTGAAAAATCAGCTTTGTGGATATTGTAATGACATCATAGATAACATGAATTGCTTACTTTTTTTATTTATAACAATCCCTTATATTTGACTAGCAATCGGAAGGGAAACCTAGAGAACAGAGTAGGTGAGATACATAGCTATATGACAATCAAGAAGAATATTATAATTCTAGAATTACATTGTTTCCCATTTCTGGAATTAATATCTTTTCTCAAATGAGTTGAGTCTGAATTCAAAACTCCTATTTTATACATAGTACTATTCATGTTTCTTGATTTATTGTATATAGTGCCATAATTTATTTTATAGATATAATGAGTATATAAATATAATGAGTATATAAATATATTTATAGATATGATAATGAGTATTTTCAACTGAGGATATGTGCATATTAATAAATACTAATAGCATAATTAAAACACCTGAGATAGGCATTTTGTGTGGGCTAAGGTAGGCTAATTAACATTTTTTAATAACTAAAGGCTTTATATTTTGCAGTGAAATTTTATTGATAATAAAAACATTAAATATAATGTTATTCTTAAATGTTTTCAATGATTCTAAGCCTGGAAAGACTTCTTTATTATATGATACTCAATAGTCACCAGAAACCAAAATCTTGATTAACTTAACTCTGTATTAGCCAGGAGTAAATAAATTTGTTGTATAATAGGTGAGATTTTCCTGTTACTTGAGATATTCAAACAATATGTAAGATATTAGATATGCTATGATTTCATATATATATATATATATATATATAAGCTTCAATGAGAAATATAATGCATTCAGTGGTAAAAACAAAGAAGTCAGAATAGGCAAGTTTTAATGTGTAGAACTTAAAGTATATAGTGTTAATTCAGTTCTTCATTACAGGTAATTAATGAAGAAGACAGAAAAAGTAGAGAGAATGCCATTGCAGAGATCAGTCGGGGGACAGAAAGGTCACACACAAGCTTCAGTTATAAAATAGTGAGACACTAATTAGCAATGCATCAAAATGCACGTACTTCTGCACTAACACACATAGAAAGGTGATGTACAAGAGTAAATTAAATGATTAGTTGATGAGAAAAGTAAATCCAGGATGTGGGTTTTCATACACACACTTTCCATTTAATGGTTTTCTAATCATTCAAACTTAGTTTTCACTTTCGCCTTATTCTATTGACATATGCATTAGGACCAAAGGAAATGAGAAGAAGGTTCACTTTCATTCAAAATGAACTAGATCAAGTTGCTATCATAAATTATAAGAAATGTTTATAAACCTGTGACAAATGATTAGTCAGGACCTCTTAATGAGTAATTGGCCTTCAAACTGGATACCAAACAGAAATATAACTCAGCTTTTCTTTTTTTCTGGTCCTGGGGCTCAAACTCTGAGCCTGGGCACTGCTATCCCTGAGCTCCTTTTTGTCCAAGGATAGCACTCTACTACTTGAGCCATAGTGCCACTTGCAGCTTTTTTCTGTGATTAACTGGAAGTAAGAGTGTCAGGGACGTTCCTGCCCTGCTTGGCTTTGAACCGTGATCCTCAGACTCTTAGGTTGCTAGGATTACAGGCATGAGCCACTGGCACCTGGCTTATAACTTAGCTTTTCTTTTCTAATGCTCATTTTTCCACAATGCCAGAAGCATTTTGTTGTTTGAGCTCCACGGATGACATGAACATTGCATGTTTTTTCCAACTCAAATGCATTACAAAAAGGCACAAAAGCACTGTCTCTGTGAACTTCAGATCCAGACAAGAGTTTGCGCTTGTCCATGTCCATGAACCACATCCGCTGTAGGGGATGAACACCGGACACCCAGCGTCATTACCTGCTGTTTATCCAGGCGCATCCTCTTGGCAGCATTTCTGCTCTCGCTCTCGCAGGCCGAAGCCAAGATGCTCTCGGCAACTGCTGAAGTAAGGTGGGAAGGAATAGGACGAGACTAAAAGAAAAGAGAGAAAAAGAATATGAAAAATTATTAACAGTATCACTAGGAGACCGCCGCTAGCGTCGGAAGAGCTCAGGGGACCATCAACTTGTGCAGGAAGATCCATTTATTTCAACTGACTGTATTTCAATTGAGAGAAGAAATGGAAATTGTAAAGATGAAAAATGAAAGCTAGTTAGAGGTTAAAGCTATAATCACTACAGAGATCTATCATCCGTTCCTATAGCTCCATTGTATTTAATCTCCATTAAGTTGGAGTTTGGAAAGGCCATGGCAAAATTGAGTAACGTGTATAAATAAAACATGTTCCTTTTTTGTAAACAATACATAATGACAATACATAACAAAATAAAACGGAAACAGATGACAGTGCTGTAACATAGTTGAAAAAAACTAACAGACACACAGACCATGTTAAACAGTTTTAATGTGGATATTATGAATATTAACAGTTCTAAGTGGTAACCACAACTGAAATGACTAAAATGCTTCCATAGATTCTTTCCTTCAATATGAATGAAGTCAGTCAGTACTACAATAACTTCCATATATGAATAGTTTCATATTTTAGATATATTTGCCTCTGTGTGTAAATGCATAGTTTGTTTTATTTATGAGGTGTGGGTTTAGTAATTTGATAGCTATATGTTACAAATGACTTTTCTATATAGATCACATAAAAATTTCATGTAATTAATTTGAAGTTAATTAATCCTCCAAATAAGCTAATTAACTATAAATTATATGCAACTCTGCATTATCTTTTGAGGGAATCATAGAAAAGTTTCCCATTCTTTTCCCCATAATTACATGCAAAATCATCTAACTGAAAGATTAAGCATTTAATGATATAGAAAAATTTTAATTAACATAAGAAAGTGATAGATAAGAAATAATATGAAAATTAAAGCACACGAGATAATAAAGTAGTGTGAAATTATAAAATTAAACTTTTGAGAAATTCCATTACATAGTGATATATTAGCCGAGGGTTTTCAAAGCCTCAGTCCAAAATATATATATGTGGTTATCATTTCCTAGAAGTCTACAGACTTAATTAGAACCCTTTAACTTTCTTTGCAAATGAACATGAACTTGCCTTTCTTGTACATGTTTCATTTTATAGTAACCTTGTCATGTAAAATGTGCTTGAGCAAATTGAACCATAAGGCTAGGTCTTCAATAATATTCTAGAATAGCTAAATTCAGACCCCAGTGTTTTAACAGACTCTCCTTTCTCAGTGGCATTTGTATGGAGTAGAAGAAAGGCAGCGGGCTTTGCTCTTGTGTGAACTAGGAAGGAATTTCTGCTTTCTGTCTCACTCTTCCATGTGTAAGCAGCCTCTGTAGGCAGAAGCAGGAAAAGGACAAGGGCTTCATCTGCTAACCATGTGAGATGCCTTACCTAATGGCTGGATAGTTTTGGCACTAAAGAAACATGTTCAGAAAGCTGCTTCTTCTTTTTTTTGAAGTTAAAAGTTCCTGAAATTCCAGAGACTATGCTGTAGAAGGGTTTGGAAAGACCATTCTATACATGGGGACTATGGTTTGGGAACAAACTTAATTAAACATTGACTTCTTATGAAATGATAAAAGTGTAATTTGAAAATTCCTTTTGTTTCACTCTTTTACTATCTATTTCACCAGGTGTGGATAAGGTAGTACTAGTTTGATTCTAATCTAAAACCTTGTGCTAAACTATAAAATCAGAATCTCAGTTAAAAGATTAGTACAGCTTTAGTGAGCACTGTAATCTAAACAATCTGGGAAAGAGGTATTCTGTCTGAACTATTATTTCTGAGGAAAAAGTGTTACAGGCAAAGTAAATACAAGAACATTCCATTATAGAAAATACTATGCAAATTATTTGATTGTAACTCTTAGCATTACTCCAAAAGCAATAAAAATTCTTACATGCATAACTATATTGTTTGATCCTTTAAATGGTCCTAGGAATTGAATTACAATTAATATCAACAATATATCTTCTTATAATTAAACTATTTTACAGTCACATAGGCTGCAAGGACCTATACTTCTATTTTATTACTTGAATTGTTCTCTTTATCAGGTCTCTATTCCAATTTAATTATATACAAAACTATGAAATGTTGTAAACTTAGTTATATTAATGAAGTCAGAAGTTTCTTCAACATATAACAGTTTGTCGATCAGAGATGATAAAGATGAAATACCATTCCATTATCAATTTACTAGTATTTTCTGTCACTTAAAAATAGCCAAAAATGACTTTACTAACATGATAAACTTTTTTCATTAAAAATACTATGTAATAGCTGACCACTGGTGGCTCACATCTGTAATCCTAGCTATTCAGGAGGCTGAGATCTGAGGATCACAGTTCAAAGCCAGCCTGGGCAGTAAAGTCCATGAGACTCTTCTCTACAATTAACCACCAGAAAACTAGACATGGTTATGTGGCTCAAGTGGTAGAGTGCTTGCCTTGAGATGAAGAACTCAGGGACAGAGCCCAGGCACAGAATTCAAGCCCCATGACCCCCCCTCCAAAAAACAAATTATGTAATTTCCTTCCAGAAAAATGACCAGTAGTGCCAGGAGCCAGTGGCTCACACCTGTAATCCTAGCTACTCAGGAGGCTGAGATCTGAGGACCATGGGTCAAAGCCAGCCCAGGCAGGAAATTCTGTGACACTCTTATCTCCAATATTTCACTAGAAAACCAGAAGTGGTGCTGTGGCTCAAGCGGTAGAGCACTCAGATTGAGCTGAAGAGTGCAGGGACAGTGCCCATGCCCAGAGTTCAAGCCCCATGACCGATAAAAAAAAAAAAGACCAGGAATGCAAAAATTTTTTTTCCCAGAAGTGCTAAATTGACTTACTCAAAGACTAAAAGAGTATACTGCCTAAGTGGATTAAGATATTCTTTACTATATGAAGATTTGGAACAAAATTAACTACAAAATAAAACAATCACTTTTCTTATTGTGAGAAAAATAAGTAGGAGGAAAGATACATGATTCTATATTGCTTATAGATAAAGGTATAATTTTGAAAATAGAGTTGTTTTGAGTTTATGGTAGAACTATAATTTGAAAACGATAAATGGACAAAGAAGCCAAAGAAGCCATTTAGCACAATTTCTTTTCTTTGAGGTTTGAAGAAACTGAAATTCAGATAATTGAAGTAATTCACTCATGGACAGTTGAATTACATTTGGGAGTCTGGATTCATATTCCTGAATCTCAACTGCTTTTTCTTTCCATTCTGCTTAGTAAATTTTCATATTACTATTGATAAAAATAAAAGGTTTTAAACAGGTATATTACACACAGCTGTATTATTACTGATTCAAGAAAATTGGAGAGAACAACATGAATTAATAAATATTTTAGAATGTTTTTTCAATAAATTTCTATATATCAAATACATAATCAAATGTTGGCCTCCATGTTGAAATTAATTCAAAAGCTTAGATTAATGAGTTTTCCTTCCAATTATTAGTCCCATACTTTTAGAAAAATAAATTCAGAGTGATTATATAATTTTCCCAAGCTGATGTAGCAGTGTGTCTGGAAATATTCAAAGATATATGATGACAAATTGGAAATAATCCACAGAAGGGGTTTATTACATTTTACAACTCGGTGACATTAAATAAGTTAGGAAGAGACGTTTTTTAAGAGTAATTTAATTTTTCTTTCAAACAAAGAATATATTAAAATCATTCTGTTATTTTTAAAGGGAACTGAAATCCTTCCCTATATCCTTCTGTTAAGTATTAAAAATATTTCTTTCAACAATGATAAAATGTAACTTATCTAAATTTTGCTAAAATCTCTAAATGATGCCATCTATATTCATAGGAATTGAGAAGTGCCAAGAAATTACAGTGCATGAAATATAATCACTCTTAGTTTCAAGCCCTAGATGAGAATGCAAGAGCTAGTCACCAACATTCTCTCTCTCCTGTGTATACTCATGCTAAAAAGCCCTTTCCTTCTAACACTGGTGCGCCAAAAACAAGTGCCAATGCTGCCCACTGCACACAGAGTTCAGTTGTGCTCTGTTCCTGGTTAGAAGATGTTAAAAATGCAACTCATTAGCTTATTCTCCCTCCATAATTGGCTTTTATCCATTTTCCCAATTAAAAGTGCTCAGCTTCAGGAAAGCAAGAAGAAAATCAGTTTTAAAATTCAACAATTACATCATAAGAGAGTTTAGCGTTCCTGTCTGGTATGACTTCTGAGAAACATCATTGGAGCCCCAATTTCTGTCACCATATTCCATAACTGAGCAATTATTCTAAAATAATTTTTAAGCTCATTCTAGAAAATAACTACAGGTGTTCTTACTAACCAGTGTAAGGTTTCACCAGAGATAAGAGCTGAAGGTTCCTTCCTACATCTCTAAACAGTTATAACTCACAAAACATGTATAATAACTGGAGCTAAGAAATGTTTTTGATAATGGATACCTTATGAAGAACAACACTTATGGTGGAAGATATTTTAGGAGATATGTTATTTTCTATATTTCTTACAGGAAGATTTAAAACATGCCGATTAAAATGTATATAATTATACACTTTGTGATCTTTCCCTAGATTGAGAAAATTTATTATCTATTTCTTTCCTTGGTTGTAAGCTAATGCCTCACTAATTAACTCTTCATAATTAGTAGTCAATCTCAAGTGGGATCTGAGTTGAACTTTCCCCAACACTGTTCCTATCGTAATAATTATCAAGTCTCAAATCAGTGTGGTTGTGTCATCCAACAGATGGCTAAATGGTCACATGGAGCTTTTGGAGTTTAAAAAGTCGCATTATAATTGGAGCTTGAGATGTGATTGCTGTTGGCACCATGTAAAAGTGTCTTTCTTTACAGATGAAGTAAAATTTATCACCAGACCAACAAGCTAGCCTCATTTGAGGGTTTAACACAATAACTTAAATAAATTGGAGTCCTGTGAAAGCCTATCTATATATTTAAGATGCTGCTGGATTGCTACAATTAT